GGACTCGAACTGCAGTCAATCATGTAGAAATCTAGCACCTTAATGACCATGCCACCTACTGACCCCATGGAAATTTATTTTAATCTCTAGTTTGCTGGAAATTTTTTGTTGTTTTTGTTTTTGCTGTAAGGCATGTGTACTCTCTGGAGGGAGATAGAGAAAGTGAAAAATCACTCTTGGGAGATGGTCATGCTGCAGTCTCTTCTCCATTCTTCTGTTGGGATTTGGGGCATGCATGCACACACACCTGGCATGATTTTGAAACTGCCTGGTCTAGGTCTTGAAGTGCAGTTGGTCAAATGGGAATCTAGCATCTTAACCACCACACCACCTGCTGGCCCATTGCTGGGAATTTTTATAATGGCTGGGTGTTTACTTTTGCATTTTTTTAATCTGCTAAGAGATCATCATATCATTGTTCTTTTTTTTTCTTATTATGGTGAATTACATTAAATTTTTTACTGTTGAACCAACCTTGCATTCCCAAAATAAACTTCACTTGGTCCTGATACAATGTCTTTTTAAATACATGTATTGTTGTATGAGATTTGCAGATATTGTGATAAGGATTTTTGTACCTCTGTCTTAGAGAGATGCTGGTCTTCAGAATCTCCCCTTTTCCAACCTGCCCTGTTGTAGTCAATCACATTTCATTACCAAGGTAGTGCTAGCCTTGTAAAACAAGTTGAAGACTAGGCAGTTGAACCATGGCAGCATAATGCTTTGTGCGACTGACCCACAGGAAAGAGTTCCAGGTTTTGTCTAGAGACCTCCCTGAGTGTTGTGGGCAGGCACATGACTGGGCCTGAGGTGGATCTGACTGTGGGGACCTCATTGGGGGTGTTTGTCTCTTTTTCAGTTATGAAAGAAAAAGGTAAATTGACTTCAATAAATAAATGAGATGAGAAGTATTCCCTTCTCTCCTACCTCCTTTTGCTTTAAAGAATTATTTATTTATTAACATTATTTTTCAGTTTGCCCAGAGAGACACAGAGAGAGAAAGCAAACCACCAAGTCCAGGACTTGAACCATGGTTGGCCATGTGGGCATCCAGTGCCCTGAATCACCACATCACTTGCTGGTCTCTTTGTCTCCTACTTTCTGGATGAATGTGTATAAAGATTGTATTATTTTGTCTTTAAATTTTTGATATAATTTGCCAATGAAATCATCTGGGTCTGGAGTTTTCTTCGTAAGCAGTTTTTTAAGTGTAAATTATTTTATTAAATAAACACAATTATTTATGTTTTCTTAATTAAGCTTTGATATTTTGTCACTTTTCAGTAATTAAGTTCCTAATTGGCAGATATAAATCTGTTTATATGTCCTTATTATACTTTTAATATAGGTACAATCTGTAGTGACTCTTATTTTTATATTCTAATATTGTCAGTTTGTATTTTCTTTATTCTTCTTGATCAGCCTATGTAGGGGTTTTTCAATGGTATTCATTTTCTCAAAGAATCAGCTTTTGGTTCCATTAATCTTAAAATTTTTGTTTTTCTGGGACCAGCAGATGGTGTAATGGCTATGTCACTGGACTTCCATGTAGTCAACTATGGTTCAAGTCTCAGACCCAGTAGCTTCAACTCACGCCGTGCGTGTGTGCGTGCATGCCCAAGATCCTGAGAGGAGAATGGAGGAGAAGGGATTGTTGTGTGTCCATCCCCCCTGGAGGGTGATTTCTCACTTTCTGTTTCTCTGTCTCTCTCTGTCTTTCTGGCTAGTACATGCACACTATAGCAAAAAAAAGTCTCAAAAATTTTTTTATTTGTTTTTTATTTTACTGATTTATGCTCTTAGCTTTATTATTTGCTTTCTTCTGCTTGCTTTGGGTTTAATTTGCTCTTCTCTTGAAAATGAATTTATATTTAAAACTGCACACAAAGAAAACTTACTTACTGATTTAAGAACTTTCTTCATTTCTTTCTTTTTTTAATTTTTTTTTCCATGAGTAAGAAAGAAAGATAGAGAAAGAGACAGAGAGACAGTTACCCAAACCGGGTCTTCACTGTCCCCCCATGCTCCTCATCTCTCCCCTCCCCACCTTCAGTCAGCCCTGGATCATGAGCATCTGCATCCCTAGTGTTCAGGAAGGTTCTCAAATGCAAACCCAGGACCTTCCCATGCAGACCAGCTTCACAGAGTGCTGCTTGGCCCCTGTGCCACTGTTGGCCTCACTTCGCTCATTTCTGATATGAGCATTCACTATTAAGAGATTTCCATATAAATACTTCAACTGTCATACAATTGTTGATATGCTGTATGTTCATTTTCATTCAGTTAAAAATATTTACTGATTTCTTTCAAGACTTCATCTTTGACCATATCTTATTTATCAGTGTGTTACATTTTGTGCTTTTGAGGATTTTTTCAGATAGTTTTCTGTTATAGATATTTAACTAAATTCCATTGTGGTTTAATAACATGCTTTGCGTGGCTTAAATTCTTTTCAATTTGCTGAGACTTATTTATAGTCTATCTTGATAAATGTTCTATGTGCACTTGGAAAGAATTTGTATATGACTGTCTTGAGGTGAAGTGCCCAATGAATATAGATTAAGTGAAGTTGATTGGTAATACTGGTTATGTCTTCTGTTTTCATACAGATACACGTTCTATTTTTTTTTCTTTTCCTGTTTGTTTCTTTTAAGAGATTTTTGCTATGGAGTGTGTGTGCTCACCAGAGAGACTGAAACACAAAGGGAGAAATCATCCCCCCAGCAAGGTGATGACCACACCATAATCCCTTCCCCTCCATTCTCTTCTTGGGATTTTGGGCATATATGCAAATGCATCCAGCATGAGTTTGAAGCCCCTGAGTCAGGGACTCGACTGCAGTTGACCATGTAGGAGTCCGGCACCTTAACCACTATGCCACCTTCTGCCCCCATCCTTTTTAAAATTGTGTTATAGGGCATGTGCACATGCTGAAGAACAGAGAGAAAGAAGGGGAAAGTGAGAGAGCACACTCCATGGGAAGAGGCCACACCACAATCCAGCGGTTCGCATCCCAGACCCGGTGGCTTAAAACTCACACTGGGTGCATGTTCGTGCATGCCCAAGATCCTGAGAGGAGAATGGAGGAGAAAGGATTGCGGCATGACCATCCCCCCTGGGGGTTGATTTCTCGCTTTCTGTCTCTATGTCTCTCTCTGTCTATCTGGCGAGTGCACGTGCCCTATAGCGATAAAACCTCTCCCCCCCCCAAAAAAAAGTTAATGAAAAATGTGTATGATGAAAAAGATCATGCATAGATTTGAAAAATTTTTCTATGCCTAAATAAATCGTACTTTAATTTCATTTTCTATGAACTTTTGGAAGTCTGTGTATTTTTTTTCTTTAAGAGAGACTTTTAATATAGGCATGTGCACTCACCAGAGAGACAGAGAGACAGAAAGTGAGAAATTAGCTCCCAGAGGGTGGCCATGCCACCATTCCTTCTTCATTCTTCTCCCAAGGTTTTAGGTACGCATGCACACATGCCCATAGTGAGTTTCATCTCGCCAGGTTCAGGACTTGAACCACTGTCAGCCACACGGGAATTCAGCACTTTAACCACTATGCCACCTGCTGGCCCCAACATTTTTTTCCATTGGGGAAAGTTGTATGTCTTGCTGGTAAGAGAGAGAGAGAACTTCTCAGTGGGGCAGGTCACACCATAACACTATCAGGATTTAGTGAGTTGTATAAAACAGAATGTCAAATATCTCTTCAACAATTTTATATAAATTATATGTTGAAATAATATTTTTCATAGATTCTGTTAAATTAAATAATTTAATTCAAACTAACTTATCTGTTTCTTTTAACTGGACTGTAAGAAAAGTTTAAATTACCTAACTGTTACATATTGTATCTATAGTGGGCAGCACTGGCTTAGTCCATTTTAATTTCATTTAATAGTCGATACAGTTGGGACCAGCATTGGCATAATGGCTATATCGCGGGACTCCCATGTAGTCGACTGCGGTTCGACTGTTGGCTTAAACTCATGCTGGGTACGTGTGCGTGCGTGCCCAAGATCCGGAGAGGAAAAGGAGGAGAAGGGATTGCGGTGTGGCCATCCCCCCTAGGGGGTGATTTCTCTCTTTCTGTCTCTCTGTTTCTCTCTGTCTTTCTGGTGATCGCATGTGCTCTATAGCAAAAACCTCTCCACCCTCCAACAAAAATAGTTGATACGGTTTATGTAAAATCTACCATCTTGCTGGTTGTTTGCTATGTGTTTTATTTGTTCTTTCTTTTCTTTTCTCTGTGCCTGCTCTCGATTTAATTTACAACTTAATTTTTCTCCACTGCTGGCTTATTACTTACATATTCTTTTAAAGTTTAAACATCTACAGAGTTTACAAAGTACATTTTTAATTTACCATAGGTTATCTTTAAATGATACTGCACCACTTCTGTAATAGTTATGAGAATCTTCTATAACAACATATTTTTTAAGACTTATTTTACTTAACTTTATGTATTTATTTATTTTAATTTGACCAGAGAGGGACAAAGAGAGAGGGAAAGTAAGAAAGCAAGTCTCCAGGTCAAGGACTCAAACTGCAGTCGGCCACATGGTAGTCCAGGGCCCTTAACCACCAGGCTACCTGCTGGCCCCAACAATATATTTTCAATTATTTCCTAGCTTCATTCATGTTAGTTTTTGTCATATATTACATGGAGCATGTCATGCATTACATGCTTTGTCTGCATTTCATGACATGTTCTACAAATCCACAATGCATTGCATCTATTTTTGTTTTAAAAACAGTTTAAAGGAAATGCCTTTATATTTACCTTTATTTTAACTATTTCTGGAACTCCTATGTCCTTGTATAGATCAAGATTTCTCCACATATCAGTTTCTTTCTGAATGATGAAGTTCCTTAAACATTTCTTGTAGCACAAGTCTACTGGCAATACTTTCATTTTCTGAAAGGAAAAAAAGTCTTTATTTTGCCTTTAATTTTGAAAGGTACTTTTTTTCTGGGTATAAAAACACAGGTTGACATCCTTAGCCTTACTCCAGGGGTTTTCTGCCCGTAGAGTGCCCTGCCCTGACATTGCCTGAGGAGAGAGCGAGAGCACGTTCCCCTCCCCAGAAACATGCTGTGTTCTGTGAGGCCTATGAATGAGTTGACAGTAGGAAAACTGACAAAGGAACAAACAAACCCGGGTTGACAGTTGTTTCTTTCTCACTCCATCATCTTCTGTATTGCAGTTTTTCATGTAAGTTCAGTTTTTTCCCCTTAAAATGTACTTATTTAATTTTATTTATATTGTTACTTAATTTGCTACAGGGCACATGTGCTCACCAGAAGGGGGTGGATGAGAAAATGAGCCTCCGGATCTGGGACTCTAACTGGGGGCAGCCATGTGGATGTCTAGAGCCCTAACCACCATACTACCTGCTGGCCCCAATTCAGTTTTCATTATCTCTATTGTTGTATATGTGATAGGAGTTTTTTCTCTTGATGCCTTTGAGTTTTTTTTTTTTTAATTTTTGGTTTTATGAGTTTTTATGTATACAGTGATTTCTTTGTATACTTTGAGCTTTTTCATTTTTAATACTGTGAGCTTCTTATATCTATATTTGTTGTATTTAATTACTTACGACCATTATCTCTTTCAGAATTGGTTTTGTTTTGTTATCTGTCTCCTCTTCCACACTTCCAGATGCATGTATGTTAGAACACTTTTATATTGTCCAAATACTCTTTGATACTCTAATATGAGTTTTTGTTTCCATTTTCCAAAACTTTTCTCCTTTTTGTTTTACTCTGGATAATTTATATTGAACTATTTTCAAGTTCACTGATTATTTACTGTATCAACTCAACTGAAGAGTGAGTGCATTAATGGTATTCTTTATTTCTGCTGCTTTATTTTTTATTTTTAGCAATTTATTAGACTCTTAGTGCTTTTCATTTTCTGTTGAAATTCCTTACATGGTAATAAATGTTGCCTACTTTTTCAAGTAGAAGTTTCACAACTTTAATCATTTTAAGTTCCCTGATTGATTTCCAGCCTCTATGTGATCTCTGAGTTTGATTCTGTAAATTGCTTTTTTCTTTTGACAATGGACCACTTTTCTCACCTTTCTGTGTATCTGATAATTTTTATGGAATACTAGACATTTTGTGCAGAACAATGGAAACTGAGACACATGTTATTTGTGTATGGAAATCTTTCCTCTTCTATGAGTCCTTAAGTATTGGAGTTAAGTCAATCTAATCAGAAATTTAACTGGGTTTTGACTTTCTTGTCCACAGTTCTCCACTGGTCTCAATTTCCTCTAGCCTGACCTTTCGGTTAGGGATGAGGATGCTGCGGTGAGTGATTTTTTGTTGTTGTTTTATTTTGACCTTCAGTGTTCCTGATCTACTCTGAGCAATCAGCCTTTCCTGTACAACTATGCTTCACTAGAGCTTTCTCCATGATCTTGCTTTTTCCCAGCGGTAGCCTGCCATTGCTGTCTATTCAGTACTTGCTGTCTTGGAAGATGGCAGGAACTTGTGCTGCTGTCCTTTTCCAAAGTCATGGCCCTCGTGTTTGAGTCTTTGAGGTAGGGCTTTCTCTTGACTTGGCCCCCCTTCCATACAGCTATACTCTGCCTTGTATTTTTAGTGAGTCTTATTCGAGTTTCTTGACCATTCTTCAGGAGTTGTAGACATCTAATAGTATTGACAGAGGTCTCTATGGAGGAAAGTTTCATGCCCCCCTCTCTAATAGTAACGATTTTTTTTCTTATACCCATTTGGCAGCCACAGTGGTACTTAATCTGTGTCCCGGAAGCATCAGAGTTTTGCTGCCTCTGCTGCTGCACCTCAAGAGTTTTAGTTCATGGTGTATGGGGCCAGGAGATGCTTCATGCTTTTTTTCACAGCAGCACACAATCCTTTTCAGCGAACGTGTACCACTGAAGGAATTTATTTCTATTTTGTTGTTGGTGGTGTTTTACCTCCAATCTTTCATGTAAGCAGCCAATGGAAACCCATGAAAAAACAATTTGCAAATAAGTACAAACCCTCCTTGTGTTTTTGACATCCAGGAATTTGTACTCTCTTCGTAGCCTACACTAAACTTCTCTTTAAATGTCTTAATATTTTAGCTGGGCACATCATCTTCCCACGCTGCACCACAGATGAGCCAGTTTTCCTCTCGCTCTTTGGAGGAATCAGTCTGTTTTGGATTTCGGGCATCTTTATCGTTCTGTAACTTTTGCTTTCTAATGGATTCAAAAAAATGGATGAGTTTGTACTCAATGATGCACACATTATTTCAATT